GTTCCTCAAGGGTATGCAGGATGTGACAAATGGTTATGCGTTGCTGTAGTTGCTGTAGACTACCTAATCTACTGGTAAGGAGTGATTCAATTTAAGGCAACATGGTATGCTTAATGGTGTGTGTCATGGGCATTGTAGTTTCTGGGGAAATATTGGTAGTCTTTCCACTCTCTTGGTGTGTTGGGCTGCAGCTGGGGTTTTGCTTAAAGTTAAGGTGTAAAGCTGTGGAACTTGTCCTAGCATCTGCTTTGACTTCCTTTGAGTTTTGCCTTTGCTCTGCACACCTTGCCAGGTTTTGACTTTGTGTGGTCGTCCTTGGAAATAATGCAGTGCCTGTTGGACGTAGAACAAAACAGAGTGCTTTTGATGTGGGTTCATTATTGAGAATCGAAGCTTCTTTGAATTGGGTCTGAAATGCACATGTTACTTTTATCAAATGGCATCGAGTCATTACTGGGCTCGTAAATGGATGAGTCCTTGAGTTTTTGATGATCTGGACAAAAGTGATACGGCTCATTTGCACTTGTTCTCTATTTTCTTAGCATTTCTGTATGTGGGCGAAAGATTGAGGCATTTTGGGTAAGCAGAGGGCCTCATTTTCTGTATGAGACAGTGTACTGTCCAGGAGGAAAACGGAGCCCCCTAAATTGCTTGACTGTCCACCCCTCATCAGGGGCAGGGGCAGCTTGCCCACAGCAAGTGTAGAACATAAATGTTTGCCAGGCAAACTGGTGTTGGGGTTCATGTAACACTGAGTTCCCTCGTTGGTGTTCAGCATCAGCCTGTTCAGGCGATGCCTTTCCCAATCATGGCACTTTCAAACCAGCCACAACCTGGTAGACCTCCGTAGGTGCTGGGTGCTTGGCCGTTATGCCTCTTAAGCCTTATGAAGCACTCTAAAGACAATCCGTTATTGACATCACCTTGTGTAGTACAGAGTATTTCCCACCTCTGTCACTTCTGACTCGTAAACTCATGTTTGTATGGCAGAATGCACTTTTACTGAAGATTTTGGAAGAATGACTGAAAGGTTTAGTCCTCAGATACTGTCAGTTGAGTGTGGGGGTTAATTCAGGGTCTTGGTCTGTGTGGGCCCTGCTGGTTGGCATCAGTGAGGCATGTCTCTCCGCCATTGTAACCTGCTGAGTGCTGGAGGTATAAGCAGTCTACATAAATGTCTCTGCCTCTGCCTCCGTTTGCTTTGAAATATATACTTTCTGTTTGGTGAAGTCGGTAACGTGTACCAGACTCCCTCTGCCTGCTATCTTCAAATCGCTGTTATTTTAAGCACGGTACCCATGCGAATTCTCAAGCTTTTCATTAGCTGCAGCTCCTGAGATGGGGAATGTGGGTTTCTGTCTATTCGTGTGTGTCGACAACTCACCTGATGGGTAAACAAGGCTTCTACCTGAAACATGTACAGAAAAGTTTAGTGAGTGAATTTTAAGATTTATTATTAGCTTATAATTAGTTGTGTTTATCAAGTGTTCCACCTTACCTAACGTGAGATGCCCGGGTGTCTGGGTGGAGGCCAGGCATGCTGCCGTCGGTAACGATGGCTGCCAATCCTCTCCCATGGTACAGCTTTCAGTCTGGATGCAGAGCAGCCGGACTATGACCTGGACACGGACGACGAGGCGTTTGTGACCAAGCTGAGGAAGAAGATGGAAATCCTCCCCCTGCAGTTTGAGGAGATGATTGACCGTCTGGAAAAGGGCAGCGGACAGCAGGTGACTGGCCTGATGCCCCCACCCACTCACCCTCCCCGGCCTGATAATCACCTTTCACCACACAGAAGTGTCAGTGACTGCACCCTCTGTGTCGCTGGAGTCCTGTTGGCCTCCGCCCTACTTAATTCCTGATTGGACAGGAGTCCTTGTGCCCTCTTCTGTATAAGCTCACTTGTAGATGTCAATCATCGTCCACCTCAGTTTCCCCCCGCAGACTGCATCCGCGAGCAGACTAATTAAACGATCGGCTCATCCCGAAGGCCGGGCGTGACTAATTCATCTCCATCTCCCCCCCCCAGCTGGTGACCCTGCAGGAGGCCAAGTTGCTCCTGAAGGAGGACGACGAGCTGATCCGCGAGGTGTTCGACTACTGGACGCGCAAGCGGAAGACCAGCAAGAGCGCAGCCCTCATCACCTCCGTCAAGCAGGAGAAGCGCGACGGCTCCAGCACCAACGACCCCTACGTGGCCTTCCGCCGGAGGACGGAGAAGATGCAGACGCGCAAGGTGCCTCATCTCGAGGGCTTGGGGCGGGCGAGTCACGCCGAAAGGCTCCTGCTCATTGGAGGCATGATGTGACAGTCGTCTGCTAACCAGTGCCTTCCCAGTAGCAGTGGTGGTAAATGCTCGTGAAGCAGCCACACGCCACGCCTCCCTCTCTAACTCCGCCATCGTCCTCCGCAGAACCGCAAAAACGACGAGGCGTCATACGAGAAGATGCTGAAGCTGCGGCGGGACTTGAGCCGGGCCGTCACCATCCTGGAGATGATCAAGCGCAGGGAGAAGAGCAAGCGGGAGCTGCTGCACCTCACGCTGGAGATCGTGGAGAAAAGGTGTGGGGGCAGGTTACCACGTTGGGGTTGGGGGGGGGGAGGTCCTCCCAGTGCTTTGCTGAAGCTGACACCCCCATCTCCCCACTTTGAACCTCTAAGGTACACCATGGCCGACTTTGGTGGCGAGGTGATGGCCGAGCTCTTGGCCCAGCGTGCGCTCGTCAAGCCCACCTACCCCGTGCCCCTCGTCCCGCTGCTCAGGCACCAGGACCATGCCGAGTACAAGCCCAAGGTGAGTGCCCCCTGCTGCCTGGCAGTGCTGTAGGCTGACCTCTGACCTTTTATCCCTGTAGCTAAAAGACCTCAGTGTCTCCTTTTTGTCGTTCTAGATTGTTCCTTTAAAATGCCTAATGCTAGAATGTGTTAATGAATGTGTGTGCCTGCTGTTTGCTGCAGTTTTCTGCCCCCATTTTGAGTATTCGACCCCCTTCCCCCCAGCCTGAGAAGACTGAAGTGGTCCGAACCAAGCGGAAGTACGAGAAGAGGCCCAAGGCCGCCCCCCTGTCGTCCGCCGCCTCGCTGCAGCCCGGCCACTCAGGCCTTCTGTCTTTCAATGCCAAGGACATGAATCAGTACGACTTCCCCAGCTCCGACGACGAGCCCTTCCCCCAGGTGGGGCAGCCAGCTTCGGGCAACATGCCTGTTTCTCCAGTCATAGGATTAGCTTTCCGTAGCTCTCTGACGTCGAACCCGCAGCCACGTGACCCACGTTTCATCTTCCAGGTGTTGTCGGGCTCGTCGGAGACGGAGGAGGAGAATGACCCGGACGGACCCTTCGCGTTCCGCCGGAAGGCTGGCTGTCAGTACTTCTCCGTGAGTGTCCCCTCAGTCACCGTACCCGCGTCCACTATGGTGTCTGAAGCACTAATGCGTGATCCCTGACCGCTCGCCCTCGCCCCCTGCAGGCCCGCTTGGAGCAGAGCGGCAGCTGGGCCTGGTGCAACCCAGCAGACGGCGGCCTGGGAGACGCGCGCTACCGCTACAGCCTGACCACCCTGACAGTCCCCCACCGCTGCGTGGGGTTGGCACGGCGACGCTTCGGTCGCGGTGGCAGGTGGGGGCCTTTAAACTTAACTGCAGGGATGGCAGTTTTGATGTGGGGGGGGGGAGATTTAAGCCTTGCAGATTTGTCAGCTGGAAGGTAGTGATGGACGTTTCGAGTGAAATCCACCTCGTGAATTAGCGTGCTCAGAATAGCGGCGACTCCAGCTGCTCTGGATAGA